CCTGCGATACATCCTAAACATCAGGTGGCCAGAGAAGATCTCAAACACAGAGCTATGGAAAAGGACCAACCAGAACCCAGTCAGCCAAGACATCAGGAAAAGAAAATGGGGCTGGATCGGACACACACTGCGAAAACCAGTCGACAACGTTACAAGACAGGCCTTGGACTGGAACCCACAAGGGAAAAGAAAAGTTGGGAGGCCAAAACAGACGTGGAGGAGATCGGTCAGGAGTGAAGCAAAGGCCGCCGGAATGGCGTGGACCCAGCTGAGGAGAGCAGCCCAGAACAGAGTCTGTTGGCGAGGTGTTGTTGCGGCCCTATGCTCCATCGGGAGTTTACAGGATTAAGTCAAGTCATGCCCACCGTGCAGCATAGAACAGTGGACAACAATGGAAGTTGAGTGAAATCTTTAAGAAATCTTATTGTGTATCTTGTATGTTTTTCTATACTATGTTTTTAATCACTAATCAACTAAAGTTAACCAAGCTACAAATATTATGTATTCCTGTCTTAACAACTTAAAATAAAAAGGCAAGGCTAGGCTTGAACCAGCTAACTCATAATTTGAACACACACCAGATCTTGCATGCGAAAACCCCAGATATCATGCAACACCTCAACTTTTGTAACCAAAATTAATTTCTGAGCCTTCATTTCCCGGTACAAACAGTAGTGAAGTTAGGCTAGGCATATCTGGCTCCGAGATCTGAAAATATTTGTTGAGGCATACATTAAAGGAATAAATATCTGAATGAAGACAACCATAAGCAAGGAGGAGAAGGAAATAGGCCCCGAGGAAGAGAAGGTAGATAGAACAGAAAGACAAAGATCTAAATGGGGGACGAGATCAGGCATAGAGGACAACACTGAGAACTAAATAGCCAATTCAAATGAATAGAAAAGGAGGGAAAAAGACGGGGGAAGACAAAACCAGATGAAAACTAGAGAAACGGAATGAGATCAACAAGGCTGCCCAATAGTTAGACATAGACGAAGTGGACAAGCCTCTGTGAAACAAGCGGGTGAAGAATAGGGAAAGATGAAGAAGGTAAGTGTGGGAAGGACATAATCCACAGCAAAGAGACCAAAGGTGGAAAGTATACTATCATCTGTGGTAAATGGGCATGGAAGAAGGTCTAATGGATTGGGAAAGGAAATATGCAACACGTGGAGTCAGTCCCTGGACTGAGACAGTGAATCTGACAAAGGTCATACATGAAGACAGTGTGTGGTGACATCTGTGTAACAACGAGGAGAATCTTATCGAGAGAAGAGTGATCCATCACCAGATTCAGGGAGCCAGGAAAAGGCAAGCAAAGACCATAATGTGGTGACTATGGGCCCAGAAAAGAGATCCAGGGTCTGAAAGCACAGAGACCTGGAATTTGTGCAACTTTGTCATAGATTCTGCATCTCAGCAAACTCTTGTGAGTATCAAGATGATGGATCATAAAGGAGTACCAGAAGCTGTACAGAAGCTTTGGGGTGTGACAGGACATTATGCAAGGTTGTTTCCTTCAGTCACTTTGACTTCAGCTTGATGACACCTGGTTAATTCAGCCTCTCTTTTAACACTTACTGGAATTTGGCCTTTGTTGTTCCCAAACGTCATTTTATCAAAATTAATTACACACTTCCTTGGTAGTAAGTAGTCCAACCCTAATATGCATTGGTCTTCAATGTCAGCCAAGTATACTTTGTGTCTGTCCTTTATGCCCATGAGCTCAATAGTTACCTATACTGGTCCCCTATACCTGGTTCCATTTCACCATCATCAATCCTGTTAAACTATCATGGAATTGACGCAGCACAACTTCCCGCAACTTTCTCGGTATAACCGTTTGCCAAGTCGTCACTTTCCCATCTGCAGTTTCCCATCTCCCTACAAGAATACCAACTTCAAGCTTCAACTGGTCCCATTGTGCCCAATAGTTCTTTGTCACAGGGCTTAAGCTAGACACCTTCTCCCAAGCAGGGCACAAAACACTTGCTTTTAGAAAATCAGTTATTGGCTTCAAATCTTGATCTTTCTCCTGCTCTGATTGAATATGAAAAGTGACGACCTGGCAAACGGTTATACCGAGAAAGTTACGGGAAGTTGTGCTGCATCAATCGCATGACAGTTTAACAGGAGGAAATCTCGGAGTTAAGAAGACATTGAGTCACCTACGACAGAGATTTTACTGGATAGGTATGAGGCAAGATGTGGAAGAATGGTGCAGAACATGCAGTACATGTTGTGCTAAAAGGGGACCCAAGCACAAGGGACGTGCTCCAATGAAGTTATATCAAGTTGGCGCACCAATGGAAAGAGTAGCCGTTGACATTGCTGGTCCTCTGCCTCAAACTTGTGCTGGAAACAAGTACATTTGTGTGGTGTTGGATTATTTCACCAATTGTCCTGAGGCATATGCAATACCAAATCAGGAAGCTACAACTGTAGCTTCGGCTATTAGTGATTTCTTTTTCAGATTTGGTATGCCATATGAACTGCATTCAGATCAAGGCCGTAACTTCGATTCAGCGGTGTTCCAAGAATGCTGCAAGTTGTTTGGCATCCAAAAGACCAGGACAACGCCACTTCACCCACAGTCCGATAGGATGGTAGAAAAGTACAACTGGACACTGGGACAGCAATTGGCAAAGTTTTGTAATAACCGCCAAGAAGATTGGGATTTCTTACTCCCTCCACTGTTGATGGTCTATAGGACAGCAGAGCATGAAGCCACTGGATACAC